ATTGATATTGCTTGTCATCCATATTCTTAGGTATGAGTCACCAATGTTGGTAGTTCAAATTTTTGTGATGTCTTATGTGTTTGTCCATGGTGCTGTAAGACCAAAATCTTTACAAAAAATCCTCTGTACTATCTTCAAGTGCCTGACGTTGTCCCAGAAGAGGAAGTGCCTGTTCCCAAAAAAGTGCCAGCTCCACCATCCAAAGGTAGATCTAATATTTATAATAGTAGTATCAAAAAGATTAATGTTCACATTACTTGTACTCCTTATTCTTAAGTAGTAGACACTAATATTGATAGGTCAGAGTCTTGTGATGTCTTTATGTGTTTGTCCATGGTGCTGTAAGACCAAAATCTTTACAAAAAATCCTCTGTACTATCTTCAAGTGCCTGACGTTGTCCCAGAAGAGGAAGTGCCTGTTCCCAAAAAAGTGCCAGCTCCACCATCCAAAGGTAGATCTAATATTTATAATAGTAGTATCAAAAAGATTAATGTTCACATTACTTGTAATCTTCATTTTTAACCATTAGGCATCAATATTGGTAGGTCAGAGTCTTGTGATGTCTTTATGTGTTTGTCCATGTTGACTTAAGACCAAAATCTTTACAAAAAATCCTCTATACTATCTTCAAGTGCCTGAAGTTGTCCCAGAAGAGGAAGTGCCTGTTCCCAAAAAAGTGCCGCCTCCACCAGCCAAAGGTACATCTAATATTTATAATAGTAACAAAAAACATCAAGATTTATATTCTTTGTCATCCATATTCTTAAGTATGAGGCACCAATGTTGGTACTTCAAATTTTTGTGATGTCTTATATGTTTGTCCATGGTGAATTGACCAATTTTTGTGATGTCTTATATGTTTGTCCATGGTGAATTGACCAATTTTTGTGATGTCTTATATGTTTGTCCATGGTGAATTGAGCTTAAAATCTTAAAGAAAAAATATCTATCTTTCAATCCCTGAAGTTCCCAAACCTGCCCCAGAAGAGAAAGTTCCAGTTCCCAAAAAAGTGCCAGCTCCACCAGCCAAAGGTAGATCTAATATTTATAATAGTAGTATTTAATGTTCACATTACTTGTACTTCTTATTCTTAAGTAGTAGACACCAATATTGGTAGGTCAGAGTCTTGTGATGTCTTTATGTGTTTGTCCATGTTGCTGTAAGACCAAAATCTTTACAAAAAATCCTCTGTACTATTTTGAAGTGCCTGACGTTGTCCCAGAGGAGGAAGTGCCTGTTCCCAAAAAAGTGCCCCCTCCACCAACCAAAGGTACATCTAATATTTATAATAGTAAGAAAAAACATCAAGATTTATATTATTTGTCATCCATATTCTTAAGTATGAGGCACCAATGTTGGTACTTCAAATTTTTGTGATGTCTTATATGTTTGTCCATGGTGAATTGACCTTAGAATCTTAAAGAAAAAATATCTATCTTTCAATCCCTGAAGTTCCCAAACCTGTCCCAGAAGAGAAAGTGCCAGTTCCCAAAAAAGTGCCAGCTCCACCAGCCAAAGGTAGATCTAATATTTATAATAGTAGTATCAAAATGATTAATGTTCACATTACTTGTAATCCTCATTTTTAACCATTAGGCATCAATATAAGTGCCAGTTCCCAAAAAAGTGCCAGCTCCACCAGCCAAAGGTAGATCTAATATTTATAATAGTAGTATCAAAATGATTAATGTTCACATTACTTGTAATCCTCATTTTTAACCATTAGGCATCAATATTGGTAGGTCAGAGTCTTGTGATGTCTTTTGTGTTTGTCCATGTTGACTTAAGACCAAAATCTTTACAAAAAATCCTCTGTACTATCTTGAAGTGACTGAAGTTGTCCCAGAAGAGGAAGTGCCTGTTCCCAAAAAGGTGCCACCTCCACCAGCCAA